AGTCTGAGTGGAAGGGCAGAAACATAAAACACATAATATTTATGTTATAATTGACAAGGTTCTTTCCCTATCCAAATAACGTTTTTCTGATTGTAAGCTGAGTGCGAACCATTTTCAGTTCAGTTATATATCAAATGTGTTTTAAATTAGGCTAGCAGAAATACAATACGTTATCTGAATGTACGTTACACTCTATTCTTTCTTTAACTCTATTAGCTAGAATCTATATAAATATAATAGTACTGTCTGTTGTATGTTATCTATATAAATATAATAGTACTGTCTGTTGTATGTTATCTATATAAATATAATAGTACTGTCTGTTGCATGTGTCTATACAAATATAATATTACTGTCTGTTGTATGTGTCTATATAAATATAATAGTACTATCCGTTGTATGTATCTATATAAATATAATAGTACTGTCTGTTGTATGTGTTATTATATTTATATAGATACATACAACAGACAGTACTATTATATTTATATAGAGTACGTATGTTGTATGTATCTATATAAATATAATAGTACCGTCTGTTGTATGTATCTATATAAATATAGCAGTACTGTCTGTTGTATGTATGTATATAAATATAATATTACTGTTAGTTGTATGTACCTATATAAATATAATATTACTGTCTGTTGTATGTACCTATATAAATATAATATTACGTCTGTTGTATGTACCTATATAAATATAATAGTACCGTCTGTTGTATGTATCTATATAAATATAACAGTACCGTCTGTTGTATGTCCATGTAACTATTTTGCAGGGTGTAGATGGATCTTCACCAAAATTGGTATGAAAGTTCATTAGGTCCATGCGGGGGTATATACAAATTTTCAGTTTTGCGTTTTGCGGTTTTATGGGCGGTTTTCGTTTTCTAACACTACTTCGCTCTCTGTATAAGGATCTTCACCAAATTTGACATGAAGGTTTGTTGGGTCCATGAGGAGATACATACAAATTTGTGGTTTCACATTTTGTGATTTGCTATTTTTTATGGGCGTTTTTTGTACAATTACATATAAGGGAAGCAACTTTTCATGTCCTAAGATAACCTTTCATTAATCATGAATTTACATAGCTTCCGTCCAGGTAGTTATTAAAAAAATGATTTCACGATGTCAGGAAAACACATTGGTTCGAGAAGTCTTAATATAAAATGATAAAAAACCCTATAACCCGAGCGCTTTTGAAAGGTGGACTTTTCTTCTTCAGGAGCAAACTGAAAAAGAAAAGTCCATCTTTCGAGTCATAGAGTTTATCATTAATAAATGATTTGTATGTATTTATATATATCAAACAGTGTATTCGTTACACATAAGATGATATGACAACAATGTACTTATGTAACAATATAATCAACACACATAAGATAATTATGTAACAATGTAAAAACTATAAAATCAGTAGATAATTAATCATAGAAAAAATGTAATCTACATTTATCAGATAATCCTTTAACCGATAATCATATAACAATGTAGTCAATACACACAATATACCGTATTTTTCGGTGTATAAGACGCACTTTTTTACCCCAAAATTTGATGTCAAAATCTGCTTTCGTCCTATACACCGAAGGTATGAATAATATATACGATATACACAAGCCATGTGTAAATATATTTAAATAGGCATGCATAGTTTAGTTCAATTGAATGTGTTATTTATAACAATATTAGTTGTTTTTTCTTTTAAAAACATAACTATTTATAATGCTTCCTAAATAATAATAAAAAAAAATTACAGTGAAAGCAATGAAGATTTTGTAGGTTTTGAACCAAACTAAATAACAGTAAACCTTTTTTTGATTTACGGTATTTTCTTATTTTGATGTTTTGAGCTCTTTCGTGTTCAGAACAATATATAATAATTTTTAAAGTATCAAATTGAATTTTTGTTCAATAAAAATCTTTCAAATGCGACTGTAGCTTTTTGTCCCCAAAACTTTGTCTTCAAAATAAAGGTGCGTCTTATGTTCCGAAAAATACGGTTATATCACAACAGTATGGTCAACATAAATGAAATAATAGCACAACAATGTAGTCAATACACATGACAACACAACAATGTAGTCAACACACGTGATATAACAGCACAACAATACAAATGCTAAAATTTAGAACAACAATTAAACATAAAAAATACAGTTTTGTAACAATTAAAGCTTGCCATAATCACTTGCTACGACTAAAACAAGTTTATTTCATTCATGTAAATGAAACAATAAAGTCAAAGAACTATTATTATAAACTTCCTCTGTAAGTCAGGTCAACTTCACTGCAATTGGAGTTGAGATTTTTGAAGTAAAGTACAGAAAGAGGTTATAAAACTAGGAACGATCCAGAAACAGAAAGTGTGACACACAACACATAGAAACTATCCATTCTGGGCTTACCTTCCATCTGTTTCACCGGGGAAATTGAGCAGTGAGTGGCCGAAGACGCCGACAGCGCGGAGCAGCTCCAATCGAAGCAGCACTCTGCGGATGAGGGTCGAAAATATCCTGCTGAGAAACTGGAAGTCGATGCCGGAAGAGGGAACTGGGTCGACTGTAGGTAAAGATCAGTGTTTGGTTCGGACATCAGGAATATACTATGGAAGGAATTAGTTATTTCTAGAAACATGTTGCAAGCTTCATCGTGAAGCAGCTGAGAAAGGGTTGCACCCAAAACCCGAGGGGCTGATAGTGGGCTGGTAGTGGGCCGACTCTCATGCTGTTGCGCCTATCTGTTACATAGTCGAAGGAACGATACGTTCTTCGTGCAAGACAGCGCCAATAGCCTGGGGGAGGGTGGGGGTGGACTAAAACTGAATGATGTCTTATTATCCGTCTTTTCAGCAAAAGTTGTCACACGTGATGAAACCAATTACACATTAAAACAAAATATACAAATTACATCACAAACTGTCCTACTTGTTACACCGGCCTATAACTTCAATGACTTTCGAAATTTTCAAAAGAAAAACCATATTTTGTTTCCAGAATTCATCTCCCAGGTGACTTCTCGATCTCACTACGGCCCCTCAGAAGTACACCCCATGAGGCAACACTTATCGGACCTAATAACCAACTGAGTTCACTCTCTGCCAGATCCCCATGATTGACAGCTGAACCAGAAAGGAGACTGATCAACGTCTTGACCTGCTTGCTCCAGAGGGATGAAGCATTAGTAGTTGATACGAGCAGAAAACTATTTATACATAAGCCTACATTTGAGCTTGATCGGTTTATTGTTACATTAGGGTGAAATTTATGCTACTTATAATAACCAACTATAATCTAATACATCAGTAAGCACGCAATGAAAGAGAACCTGACGAAGGACAGTTGCTCGAAATGTCGTTGTCAAATAAAAACAGTTCTTCTATGTGTATATAGAATTTGTTTTAACTGGTTGAAAGGTTGACAATAATATACGAAAAATACACACAATCTACTGGAAATAAAGTATAAAGGTACTGGTGTATTGGTGTGAAAAAAATACACACAATCTACTGGACATAAAGGATAAAGGTACTGGTGTATTGGTGTGAAAAGGATCTGGTGTATTGGTGTGAAAAAACTATATACAATCTACTGGAAATAAAGGATAAAGGTACTGGTGTATTGGTGTGAAAAAAGGATCCGGTGTATTGGTGTAAAAAAACTATATACAATCTACTGGAAATAAAGGATAAAGGTACTGGTGTATTGGTGTGAAAAAATACACACAATCTACTGGAAATAAAGGATAAAGATACTGGTGTATTGGTGTGAAAAAAATACACACAATCTACTGGAAATAAAGGATAAAGAAACTGGTGTATTGGTGTGAAAAAAATACACACAATCTACTGGACATAAAGTATAAAGGTACTGGTGTATTGGTGTGAAAAAAAATACACACAATCTACTGGAAATAAAGGATAAAGGAACTGGTGTATTGGTGTGAAAAGGATCTGGTGTATTGGTGAATAAAAACAATGTATCACTGTACCAAGTAACAATATACTAAAACAATGTATCAGTGTACCAAGTAACAATATATTGTAGCAGTGTACTAAAGTAACAATATACCGTAGCAGTGTATTAAAGTAACAATATACTGTAGCAGTGTACCAAAGTAACAATATATTGTAGCAGTGTACCAAAGTAACAATATATTGTAGCAGTGTACCAAAGTAACAATATAT